TCGTGAATTCCTATTTAAATTCTATTTTTATTGGAGGTTGCTTATATCTTCTATTGAAAGATTAAGATTAATTTATAAAAATAGATGATGGATCTTGAACAGAAGCATTTAATTCCAGAATATACATGTATATATCTTAATACTGGCGTCTGTATGTCTGTATATCTATCTATCTATCTATCTATCTATCTATCTATCTATCTATCTATCTATCTATCTATGAAGTTCTACACGAAAAGCTGGGAAATTGACCAGAGAGCAAAAACTAGGAGTTTTGATTTTAACCTTGTGAGTAGTAGTCATTGAGAGATTGTAGTGCTGTCATGCAGCGTTATTGGCTTTCTGAACGACACACCTAATTTCACGAGGAAAATACCGATTATTAACTTCTTGTTTAGCTTCATTCTCATATGTTCATACACACACTCTCCTGCATAACCACACAAATAAAGAATAATTATGTACAGTGTTTCTTAAATTCTGTTACTTTTCGTTGTATGTAAGGTTGTAAGCATTTTAACAGTCGAAATGACCAGATGTAAGCGTAAGTTCTATGCTGAAAATTTATTCTATCCGATATCACTTGTGGAACTCTCTTTCGGATTCTTACTTCCGAGTCAACTTTAATTTGTAAACTTTTAAATGCAATGTCAATCGCTATCTACTGTCTTCTTAAGTTCTTGTTGTTTTATTGTTCACTCACATTAATAGTATTTTTCTCGTATTGTCTCACACTCAATAACCACTTGCGTCATTATTATCTTGATTGGGGCGAATTGATTAAGATAAATATATGTATTTAATTTACACAATATTCCATATAGATTAATAAACTATTATTTTATTATCTAATGTTATATAAGCTCGATGACATTCTATAACATTCATCAATCTTTCGGCCACTTTTAAAAACTTTCGATTTTAACATTACTTTCAGCGATTGTTATTGCTACCATTAATTGAATATATTTATTCATTCTCATTAACTATTCCTTTAAAGATAGATTTTATTTGAGATAGGCTTATGCCATTCCATTAATTTGCATCAAATTAATTTTTTCCATCGCTCATTCTCTTATTCAAATCGTGGACTTCCCTACTCGTTTCCCTAGCAAAACCGAGCAACATGCTTCTTTAAATGATTTATTTCTTACCCCTTCTTCTCGTTCTTGTCTAACTTCGCAACACTGCCCTCTTGGTAACTCTGAATACTCCTTCGTTCCAATCTTCTATAGTAATCCCATATCAACAAGACCTAATTCTGTTATCATCATGTTGATTGTAACTCACTCCTTGATTTTCTCCGTGACGCCTCTTAGATTAAGATCTTTAAACTCCGAATTGAAAATTGTTCTACTGGAGTTACTGCTTGGGTCAAAGCCGGCATGGACGCTTTCATACGTTCTCGGAAATACCAAGTGAAAAAGTCAATCCTCTCTATGGTTCACACCAGCCTTCTCAGCCGCCATAGCATACAAGAACTACTATTTCCGACTATACCTGCGTGACAGCTCTCGTCGTAACTGGGGTCTATTTGCTACTATTCGTAATAAATGTAAGCGATTCCTCGGAGGAGCTAAGGCCCTGTTTGCTAATCGATTTGAGGTGTCATCATCATTTGCTGATAAAGCTGAATGCTTTTCCCGTAAATTCTCCTCAAACTCTACTCTTGACTCATCTGGAGTATCACTGCCTAACTTCCCATTTAGAACTGATTCTCTGTTGAGTGATATGCATATAACCCCTTACATGGTTTCTGCTATCATCTTTAACCTTGATCCCCACAAAGCATGTGGACCCATCCATGTAATAGTCAATAAGAAGTGTGCTCTCGAACTGGCTCCTGTTCTCTCTAAACTTTATAATAAATGCCTAAAAACTAAATTTTTTTCTATTAATCATCTGCGAAACCCCTTGCTGCGTTCCATGCAATCGTCAAAGAAAGTGACTCATTGCACCTTCTTGAGCTGTTCTCTGCTGATATGAAGTAAAAAGATTATATTGAATTCATTGTTAGGTCATCTACCAAGAAAGTCGGTTCATTAAGGCGGGCGAGAAAATATTTTCTCTCCAGAATCTATCTTGCATATCTGTAAGACTACCATTCATCCATGCTTAGAATAGTGCTTCCACATATGGTCCGGTGCTCTTGCTATTTACCTTGGGCTCCTTGACAAGCTGCAAAGAAGAATGTGCAATATTATTGGTCCTGATCTGGCGGCTCAGTTCCAGTCCGTTCCCCACCACCGTAAGGTTGCCTCCCTGTCTTTTCTATAAATACTTTCATGGTAATGACCTTTTCGCTATGGTACCTAGACTTTATGAATATAAGCCCAGTACTAGTCTGGTGTCGAGATCTCATCAATTTACAGTTGAGCTAGCTAGATGTAGCCGTAAATTCCATGCTAACAGTATCTTCTCTCGTACACCTCGTTTGTAGAAGTCATTTCCAGTTCAATGCTCTCCAGCCAACTTTAATCTGCAAACATTTAAATTAAGTGCCAATCGCTATCTACTCTCCACTTGATTACTCTCTTCACTTTCTGCTCAACACTAATGTCTCTGTTTCTAATTCTTTCACACCCTGTAACCCCTTTTGTCTTATTGGTATTACTGCCTTGCTTAGGTTGATTCCGATTAAAAAAAGAAGAAGAAAAAAAACAAAGACACACTTCATGTATGCCATGTATGTAAGGGACGTTGTAAAAGCCTTAAGAATAACCTATGGGCTCATATTGTTATACTGGAACACACCTATTCTATAGTTAATAGACTCTCCCACCAATAATAAGTAGTAGTAGTAGTAGTGGAGTCGCTCAGAGAGTTGGTCAGTCAGTCGACTGGCTGATCGGTTGAACTCTCTGCCTTCGAGCGGGGAGGAACCCGAAAGAGCCTACGCCGAAGGGCGGATTCTCTTTCGGGGAGGTAAACCGACCCTGAACCCGTTTATACGGGTTCAATGGGCATATTTTTGGCCGAGCCCACGGGCTCAGAGATCCTACGTTAAACCGGCCTTATGCAACATGATGTCCTTGTGGCGTGAGGGGGGGGGGGTGACTAAATATCGAGTTGGTCACTCAGTCGATGTCGGTTAGTCGGATATTAAAGTATCAGCCACCCCAACTAGATTACTGCGTCATTACCTATTATATCAAGTTCCTAACGTTTTGTACGTTGAACCTATTTTAGGACCGACTTAGTACAAATACAAGCCTCCACTGTGAAACCCCTACATAACAATTTGGTGGCGAGGGATTCGGATTCATACGGAGGAAGAAAAACCTTTTCGTACTACATAACAGTTATAAATGATGGAAATAATAAAATTTTGAATTAAAAACACAAAAAAATCTACCAAGTGAAGAGATGGTCTTCTTCTACAAAGAAGTGAAATGATCACACACACACACACACACACACACACACACACACACACACACACACACACACACACACACAAACAAACAAACACAAACACATATAAATCTTTCTCTTTCAACGTATTCTAAAAAATTTGATAAGGATTTGCCTTAAATTCTTTTTTTAGAAACGGCTATATGAATCTTGCTTTCGAGCCATTCTAAAAATGACATGAGAAGTTACGTTAAATTCAATACGGAAATTCATGGAGAATATATAAATAACTTTCAATATTACCTAAGATAAAGAAAAGAAACAGAATAATTATTAACACCATTTTGAAAAAGTCACTCATTTCATTCTTTTCTTTCTTCACAAGAAACGCCAGCTTAGTGGAAAAAGTACAAATGATTTATTATTTAAGCATAAACACAAGTATGCACATTCTTTCGTTTTTTGATCTGATGAAACCTAGAAAGGTGAAACGTGTAACCAAATCTAGATTCAATAAAATGGTTTTCCATTTGTAGGGATTCTAGATCGTATTTCATACACACACGCACAGTTGAATAAATTGTCTTATAAATTATGAAAAAAAAAATGAAATCTCATTTTAACTGATATATCTACCAAATTTAAGCAAAAATATCTTGTAATACTAAAATAAAATCGCGTCAACTTCTGAATTTCCTGCAACACTTCTGGACTTGTTTCAGTTGGCGAAGTCCTGAAGGACACAAGAAAACTTTTTCAGCAGTGTTATATATTTTCCCCAATATTCTTCTTGGTGTATAAACATATATATCGTTATCTCATATATGGAAAGAGCGATAGCAGCTACTGGAACTGAGAAACTTATTTATTGAAAAATTGTTTTAAGATAAAGATTTTATAAATTTCAATCAAAAGCAGTTCTGGCTGCTCGGTCAATGAATGCCAAGTGTCTCCTTATAGGGAGACGGGTAATATTATCATTACATTATATTTGTAAAAGGTTAGTTAAAAGGTTAGGTATGTCGTATTCATCTTATTACAACAAAAATTTTATGTACTGGTCACAACAAATCCCGACTCTGAGATGTACATCGCGATTTTTCGGTGCTTGACGACTCATAATAACAGCCCATTGGCTACATTTCTTCAGCATATAAACTATATTATTCTGATAAAGATATCCCATTTCTTGACGCAATGTTTTGCGCAATGATTTTATGACATACAAAAGACTGTATAATATGCATTTGACCGTAGTATAATATCGGGTATTCCAAAACTCACATAGATAACAGTGTGTCAGTAAATAGCTATTCATTGTACTTTTTAGGAGCATCTATACGTATACTTATTGAAGAGCTTGTATGTTTCCCGTCAAGAAGAAAAACAAAATGAAGTGAAACAATTATTCATTCATGTGACAATTCTCAGAAGTGAACTCTTATTAAAATTTCGGTAGCGGTGGACCTTTGCATTAAAGATGAATGAATTTTATTATTTTCAAATAGATTTCAGATGACGAAATTCTTCACTCACTTAGAGGATTGGAAATGAAGAATTTGTTATTTTTTCTCCTTTTATACATTTGACTCTTTTGCTGACTGCTTCGAGCCAACTGACAGGATTAGTAAGCGATCATGGCGGCA